AACATACATCTATGAAGGTATTTTTTTTAATCATCAGATATAGAAGCCAATGACACCAAAAGCCATAATAAAAGCCAAACTACAGGGAACATGTGCAAGAACCCTATATAATAATCCTACTATAAAAAAAAAGCTGTCATATGTGGATGCACTGTATACTGTATATATCCCATGCACCTTTTTTCTTTCTTTGGCACATTCTTCTTCTTTGACTATTTAAGCTGATGTAATGAGCAAATTTCTCCAGTGTGAGATCAATAAAGTCAATCAAACAATCAACGCTGATGAAAAACTAAAGTCACATAAAGAATATAACACACATACACTGAAATCAGTTATTTTATTTAGGTCCTCATTTAAATATTCTAATGACTATTGTGGACCATTTTTTAAAATGTTCTTACATATTTTAGCATAATTTTAACTAAAATACATTCAGCTATCCAATATTCTTAAAAGCCCAGTATGTAGGTTTAATGTTTGTGCATTTTTATAATATGCTTAACTAATCTATTGTCAATGTTTTATTTTTTTCCCCTAATATTTTGTTAGTTTGTACTGCTCTTTACCCATCAGTGCTTTTTAATTAATCCATTGATTCAAATATTATTATTATTAAATTTAAACATTAGTTTATTCACTAGACTCTAGCATGTTCTTCATTTACATTTTTTCTTATTGCCCCAATTTTGGTACATGTAAAATATAGATTTCATGGACTAGAAAATGACTCTGAGGTAACCAAAATGTAGCAAATGTAATTTGAAATGTAACATTGGAGTTTATTTTTTTTTATTTGTTAATTGCTTTATTTAATTTTTTAAATGAGTTATCCTGAACAATTAATTACAGGATTTTGTTTAAGTAAAGTGAAATGTTTTCTGTTGTTATTTTCTACAAAATAATGTAATATCCTTTTCATCATATTTTTATTAACATGATGCCAGGCAAATTCCTTTACTTTAATTGGCTTTAACGGGACTCCATAAACTCTCACGTGGGATTTCATTCATGCCATGTGTCATTTTTGTGGTAGTAAACTCAAGACATTCTTGTGTAACCAGCACTGGTTAGACGAATGACATCAAAATACCGTTACCGATACCTATCAGTAAGATAAACAACATATTTAGTAGCTAGAAGGAATTAAATCTAAATTTCTGTAATGAAAATGAAACGTGACATTGTTGATGTAGTGCAAAATGAATCAGTAAGCTGATGATATCGGTTATATTTTAGTTTTTAGAACAGATTAAATTGTATAACAGGATATATATATTTTAACCAGTTGGTGGCGGTAATGATCACCTAACATTTTTTGCCAAACGCCATAAAAATTTCAAGAAGAAGAAGAAATCTTTTTTTTTTTTT